AAAACCCCAAAAAAATAAAATCCATGGGCGAAACTGTGGATCCATGATCTACGTGTTAAATAGAAGTAAACTGCATCAAAAAATCGCTGTTACAATTTTTTTTTTAATTTTCCTACCAAATTTAACCAATTTTTCTGGGCTAATCGCTATGTTTCGCACGTTCCCGGCCGTGATCTAAGCGTCGTACAAAACAAATATAGGTATACAAGTGGTGAAGAATGAAATTCTCTACAACCTTGTAATTTCAGTATGCTATGTATTTTCAACAGAAATTGTCAAAAAATGGCGAAAACCATGACAATGTAAATTTTTTTTGCAGTTTTTGCTATTTTTTTACAATAAAAAATGCTATTTTTAAGAAACCTTCTATACAATAAATGTGGCAAATTAAATTCTCCACATATTTGTATATAACCATTTTTTACGAAAAATGCAAAATAAGTTTGCGAATTGGGAAAAACCCAAAAAAACCGTAAATCCAAGATGGCGGAATGGTGCCAAATGAAATTTAGGGACAAGACTGTAGATCCATGAGCTACGTGTCAAGTAGAAGTAAACTGCATCAAAAAAATGCTGTTACAAATTTGTTTTAACTGGGCTACATGTGAAGTAACAAGTTTTCTATTTCTAAGCAGAAATTTGTTTGTATAATTTTTTAAATTTCCACAATTCTACTTTGTGAATTTCCAAAGGCTTCTACAAACGAATTAAAAACTTCTACAAACAAATGCATGCGTATGGGAAGCTTGCTACTTCATATGTATGAGCGCCTGGTATCGGGAAATGAAAGTATCGTATTGTACAATGAAAAATTGGGTCTTTGTATAAAAAGAGTCCACTTTCTTTATAAAAATATGATGTTGGCTAAATATTCGGAGCGCCCTACATTGTTTCTCCATGTTTGCTATTTAACATAAGGGTCAGCTCTAACATTAACATTATGTAGCATTAAACGAAAGCTTCCAAAAATACTCAAGAAATACTTGTGAAGGAACATCTTTTTTGTGGCAGTTTAACAGCATGGTACTGCTGATTTATTTTTTCGAAACATATTTTGTTTGAGTACTTTTTTCATGTATACAGCGCTCAATATCTTCACTTCTCTTCCTTCCATGCCCTCTCTGTTAGAGTATGAGTAGTTTACATTTTTGAAAAAAAAAATCACAGTGAAGCAAACTGAATTCCGATGCAGACCTTTATTTTGAACAATTTAATTAAAAAAAAAAATAACTTAAAAAAATTATTGCCGACGAGCTGTTTTAAACTCTCGATAAATGTGAGATTTCAATTTTCTTTTGCGAGTTATAGAAGGTCGAGAACTCTCCCCAGACTCAAAAATGAAGATAAGTACAATAACAGACTATTTTGCGAGATGTAAGTAATCAAAACCACTTGAAGGATTGAGCAATTTCGTACCCAAAAAATAAGCACTGTACGATAGTTAAAAAGGAAATGGATACTGTCGTTTCTGAATATCCACAGGAGCAAGTAAGATTCCCTACAGAATTTTTAAACTCTCTAACACCTTTTAATTCTTCTTGATTGAGTAGCCATTTATAATTAAATTTTTCAGCTAAAAAAGTGAAGCGATTGAAAGTCATAATTTATTTGTTGACAGTACATAGTACCTTTTAAATTTTTCGGACAGTTAAAGGAAACTCAACTTAAAAGGTAGAACAAAGGCATATCAAACAGGTGTTAGAGCAAAAACCACGTTTATGTGTATTTTGTTGTTGCTTCTCTTATCTAAAGTGTCAAAACTGTTCTGATTTTTTTCTTGTAAATCAAAGAGTACCATGTGAAATACAAAAAAGTAAAAATTAAAAATTAAATTTGGGAAAAACACTGGTGCGACTTTCTTTCTTAGCAAATTTTGTTTGCTTCTCGAAGCACTGATTTTTTGAAAATTGCATCGGGCCGCAAATGTTGGATGTATCCTTCTGACTTTCATCTTCACAATCAAGCATCATGGCACCATCGTTGTTTAAACACCATTGTTTTGCAAAAATTTCTTCATTCTCATTCTTTCGGTTGTTCAGAATTTGTAACATCATCAGCGTTTTTCGATTTTAGTTTTTGAAATTAATTTTTAATCCTTTCTTCTGTGACTGGTTTGAAAAATAAATACATAAATAAATTTTTATTTACTAGGAATGAAAATTTGTAAGAAAATTCTGTTTTGAAAATCGTGGCTGCCAGTCGAGTTAGTTTAAAATCGTATTATATTGTTAAAAAGGCACCCCGTTTTTTATAATAATTTAAATTATTGGAATCAAGGACAATGAAGTTCTCAGATCTGCTTAGTTCCCGGGTGACTTCTTGAAAGGGTTCACCTGTAATGAATAGCTTGTAATTCGTTTTTTAATTAGCTGAGCTCTACTTTTCCTAGTTGCAGGCAGCCACAATTAATTACTCATCGCTAGCGATGCATCCAGTTTTTTCAACAGACCTTTGGCAAATAATATTCCATAGTTACATACTTCTTAAATAATTAAAGGTTATCTTTTAACGCGTAAATTGTCGATTCTCTTTATAAATAGCTAGACATTGAATATTTCGGCTGGAAATACCTATTGAAGGATCTTACTCTTTGACTTTAAATTACAAAAGAACGTAGGGGGACTGTTTTAACGTAGCAACAGGCAAAAAATATTGGCCACAATTTGTCATTTTGTTTGCCAGATATACGTTTTATCAGTGCACTTGCACAATATTCGCATTCGAAAAGCTCCGCATTGATTATTGCGAATGCGAAAGCGAATTCGAATGTTAAAATTAATGCGGAAGCTCCGCGGTTGCGAATGCGAATATCCGCAACAACACTGCTTCGAAGTAAGAAGTGCAATCCCTCAAAAAGAAGTACTGCACTTCCTAAAGAAGCACGGTTGGTCACATTATATATGACTCAATAAGCGGACTGTTAAATTACATTTTGGCTTCTTCTTGAGTATTTTGCTTTATTCAATGGAAAATATATTGTTCATCCTGTTGTTAATTGTTACAATTTTAGGAACTACCATTTAAAGCTGAAAGAAAAAGTCTACTCTCTTATTAAAAAGTTTTCAAAATCTGGTGTACAGTTTTTTAGCTGAAGTGTTACGTTACAGAAAAAGACTTTACGTTTGTGATATATCTGTAGCGTAAATTTTATAATCAGGTTTTCAAATGGCTATTGTTGTGTTATTCGCAAAAATTCAAATAGTATACGTTACAAATAGTTTTTCACTTAAAAAACATGTCTGAAGTAGAGTAAGGCGGCTAATTTTATTTTTTTGCTACTGTCGGCTATATATAGAATAAATACATAATAGATAATAGATTTGTTTGTCAAATATTTCTTTATTTAACTTACAAATAATATATATAAATCATGCGGAGTTAAGAACCTATAATGTACAAAAATGGCGATATTTAAGTATAAACTACGATTTTGTTTGTTATACTTTTTTGATTTTCATTCATTAAAAAGGTGTCTCATGATTAAGGGAAGGAGATTCGTGTCAGTATTTATGTTGCCCGATACCTTGGAATATGTATGACCCCGATTCAATGAAACATTTGCGAAATCTGTGAAAATAAAATTTGTCTTGGTTTCGTTTTCAGCGATTTGGCCATATGGGGAACAACAACTAAATAAATTTGTCTATATAAATTCGTAGGATATGGGGTTTTCTGAGTTTGCCCCTAATATTGAAAAACTGGCTTTCATTGAGAACTACCTGCATTTGTATACCACCGAATTACCTCAGTGGCTCTTCTTATCTTTCGCGTATTGATATCTGTTAAAAATGAATATAAAAGAAAAAGGTAACCAAATTGGCAATATTTTACTTAAATGCAATGCAATACAAGCTATCATAACTATGTATTTTGCTTTGAATTTCCACAATCGCAAGCAGGAACATTTTCGTAAAAGTACACTGCTTTAGTTTTAATTTATTAACGTAATTGTGAGGGAACTGTATGTTCCAAAAATGAGCCTGCTATGTATTTCAGACTTCTTTCTAGACTATGAATCGATTGATGTAGGATCCAAAATAATTTATAAATCATGTATTTTTCATACCATTGCCCGACGATGAGACTGCGACAGCATTGAATTGAAAGATGTATTTTTGATTTGTTCCCAAACTCGGTCTGCTTCTGCTTTATCGACATATATTGAGCTATTGTAATATATATGGTGATCCTGTAGAATAATATAAAATGACAGAAGAAACGAAAATTACTATAATTCTTTAAGCAAATATATCACTCACATTCGTAACGTTGACTGTATAACTGTTTTTTTCTATTTCGCTAACGGTTTCATTATCCGGCACATCCACATTATCAATAAGTTTTTCCTCGGTAGTTTCGGTCGATTGATCATTGCTGCTTGTTTCCTGTACAAAACCGGCCGCGGCCCCTAGCGTCGATTGTATAGGATCGGAAACTATCGTGGTTTTTGGCTGTGACAACTGTGAGCCAGAATCTTTTCTTTGGCCAGTACCATTTACACCCAGTAGAGGTTTATCGGCTACATTATATGGTACTACAATGGATGATATGTTCGATGTTGTTGCTGTTTCGGCGGTTTTGTGAGCATCGCTGGCCGTTCCATTGGCATTCTGTGACACACTTTCATACTGGTTTTTTGCATAAATTGGCTGAGTTTGTCGCTTCTGTCGCAATTTTACGAGAGAAATTTGCACGTCATCATACGATGCCGATACCGGAGACACCCTATATAATTCAGCTGAAAGGGAATGAAAAAGTTAAGTTTAGTTTTTAATTTACATACAAACATTTAGATTAGGCAACGATTACTATGGATGCGTGTTCTGACGGACCTGACTACTTTTCCACAAAATTAATTTCAATTGCTGTAATGCAACATATTACTTGCTGCTAAGTATTTAATTTCTTCAGCGAATTTCTCCCTATGGTTGCTGACAATTATCTCATATCAAATAAAATATAAAATTGAATTTTAGTATTGTAGCAGAAAATAAAATAAGGAAGAGATATGTTTGTCCATTTTTATAACTCGTTCCAGCCAAAAAATGTGTATTCGTGAAATAAATGAGAATTATTTTTGGAAGCCTTCTGAAGAGAAACAGAGTTTTCCGATCGAAAAATATACAGTGCCGGACAAAAGTATTGGCACAGAGAATTTTTCGCAATATGTATCTGCAAAGTTTTTTATTCTAATTTATTTTTGATGTTTTTTTATAAAAATATAGTTCGTACTTCACCAAAAAACATAAAAACAAAATCTCTAAACTTTGTGCAAAATTGAGGAAAATTCAATAAATTTGCATACTAATTTGCAACTTTCTATTCAGATTTTTTTTTAAATTCTAAGTATGCAGTTTTATAGCCCATCTAATTTTAGTATAACAAAGGGCAAGCTTGAAGATGCTAAAAAATCGAGTCGATTTTTTGTATGGAGAAAATGCGCAACACCTTCCACTAAAAAAATTGCCAAAAATCAACGCGCTATAAAACTGCATATTTAGAATTTTTCTAAAAAATCTGAATAGAAAGTTGCAAATTAGTATGCAAATTTATTGAATTTTCCTGAGTTTTACACGCCAAAAGGGCGTAAGCGACAAAAAGTAAATTTTTCAGTAGGCGTTTTTTTATTAACACTGCAATTACTGTAGATCAGGAGTTCCCAAACTTTTTTCAACGCGGCACCCTTATTGTGCGAAAAAATTTCGCGGCACCCCTACTCTTCAAATGTCTACGAAAACAAGAAAACACAATGCAAACTTTATGCTCATTTAGGTTTAATGTGAGGACTGAAATTGTTATGATGATTTCATTAATTCCTTTAAATTTATTGGGAGCTTTGACAATTTTACCCTGAAATCATTTGACGCTGAAAGCGTGCTGGTGCATTTGTTTTTAACCAACTTCACAAAAAGGAGAAGGTTATCAATTCGTCGAAATATTTTTTATTATTATTTTTTTAATGTATGGTACAGCATAACTTTGGACCACGTTAACCGATTACTATAATTCTTTTTTTTTTTTTAAGGAAAGGTCCCATTCTAATTTGGTTTACATCCGATAATTGGATCATAAAGAGATTAACGATAATCTTAAATTTGTATATGGGAATTGAAGTCGGTTTTGTTTTTTGCTTAAAAATTACTTGTTTATGTAATGGAGCATGAGCCAGCGACGGCCAGACCTTCGTCATTTTATAAAGCTTCTCTATGTATGCCCCCAACATAGGTAATAACGAAACCAGACTATGAAATTTGGATAGTGGTGGCTTTGGCAGGTGGCAGGTAGTAAAGGTGTATAAAATAGCACCTCAAATTCGTTATAGTATAAAGGTCAGATTTTATATATTTTATTCGTAATAATATTAGAAACTACGTCGTTTATTGCCAGACACTTAGCATGGTTCCTACCCCTGCCAGACACCTTTAAACCATGATAAATTGTAGTTATACTTTCGTCATAGTATAAAAGCTGATTTTTATGTATGTCACTTGGGGAACTATCAAAAGATGTTTCCTCACTTGCCAGACCGTTTCGATAGTTCTTTCATCATGCTAGACACATTAAAGGCCGAAGGTGCGAGCATGCAGAAACTGATAAAAATTATACGTTTGTTAGTTACTTATCGGAGTCAGCGGCCTTTACAAGCTGAATTCCAATTCCCTACAAAATTTGTTAATGCCAATGGCTATTCGCTATTCCACAAAGCCTATTTTTTGCAAAATTTTATAAGAAATATAAACGTAAAATTAAACTAAAAATCTATAAGAGTTTATTTGAGATAAAATTCTTTAGAATAAAATGCTTATGTCAATAAAATAAAAATCGAATAAGTTAATTAATAATGTTTTAGAGCCTTATGAATTTTTTTTTAATTTAATTTTATATATACATATATATTATATATGTATGCGCTGTATGGAACAATGCTCATCTCAAATATCCAACCACATATCGACTGCTGAGTGGAAGATCGACCTATCTCGGTAGCCAGTTCGAAAACGCCCTATCTTAGAATTCGTTTGAAGAACGCCCTATCAATTCGTCGGATTGTTTTTTTATTAATATTTATTTTTTTTGTGTACGTTACCGCATAACTTTGGACTACGGTAACCGATTACTAAAATTCTTTTTTTTAGAGGAAAGGGTTACCTCACAGGTGGCCCCATACTAATTTATTTTTAAATCCGATCATTGGATCATAGAAAAATTAACGATAATCTAAAATTTTTATATGAGAATTCAAAAATTACTTGTTTATGTAAGCATTTGTTGAAAATGCAGTCTTACATAGAAATATAAAAGTAAAAGTCACTAGTAGTTTTAATGCAATCTTGCCAACAGCAGTGTTTTCTGCATACACTTGCATCCAGAACTCTCTTGGCTCCCTTCGTATTATTTAATATTCAAAGTGCTGTCTTCACTGATGTCCAGAAGGTTTTCAAAAGCTTAATTTGTCATCTCAGTAGGTTTACTTTTCGGGTCACATGAACACGGGTTTGTTATCCAGCTGTAGACATCCTCAGAGTCAATGTTGGGAAAATATTCGACAATAGTTTTTTCTAAACCTTCCAAGTTAACGCTGATAATGCGCGTTAACGCTAAGAAAATAACTTTTACAGCCAATTTCACGAAAGCAATTTAAGTAAAAAATGATTTTAAGTTTTTGAATTTTATATGGAAATTGACAGAAAATAAATCCATTTAAATTGCTGGTGAAACCGGCTGTTATCAATTTTCTTAGCGTTCACTTCGAAGTTACATACGTTCTGATTTACTTGTTTATTTATACCGGTTTCATGCAAATCGCTGGAAATACTAAAATATACATTTCACCAATAAAAAAATCTTGACGTGCTAGAAAAAACCAAAGATGTATTTTAATTTCACAGGCCTCTGTTATCTTCGCAGCGTCATCCAATACGGGGTTTAAATCTAGTGGCGGCATCTTCCTAGTCGTCAGGGAATACCGACGGATCATACAGTGACTTCTCGTGGCGTTTTTTGCCTCTTGCTTCATCCTAGACATCGTTCCTTTTTTTCCAACCACTGCAAATATCCAGACACCATTTTTCTGTACAAATTTGTCGACAGCTTTAAAAATATCGTTGCTAGTGGTGTAAGTCTCCAGTACTTCGCTCATCAAAAGTTCTTCTTCGATTTGCATTGCGAATGGGTACCTTACTAACACGAGAAGAACATTAAGTTCACTACGTCGGTACCTTCATCAAGTTGAAAACTAAACAATTCATAAGTTTTCAAACTTTTTATAATTTCGTTCTCGACTGCCTCTAAAATCGTGTTGATTCGCTCTTTCGCAGTGTGATTGTGAAGTTCCAAAGAATAAGTAACATATACATGTGCGCGAAGCTGCTGCGCTTGTTACGAGAACAGCCCAGCCAGCAAAAGATCCGAAAATTAATCCGAAAACCGGAAGAAAAGTGGATGAAACGCGGATTAGGTCTACAAAAGTACCGAAAATGGTTGTGAAAAGGGTATGATTTCTGCTATTATTCTGACAATTTTTTGATTCAATTTTTCGTTGACAAAACGTACTGGGGAACTACGCTTAAGAGCGAAATACACCACACAAGCTGCTTGACAAACCAAGCGAAATATCCCTTTGCCGCAAGCCATTTGTGTTGTGTATGGGTTTTCACGAGGCGCTGAAGGTAATTTTAATAAAAAACTAAATTTTTTGATTTTCTGGCCACCATGTTGAAGTTTGATCAAGCCGCTTGCGTTGTATATGGAAAGTTTAAAGAATTTGCCCGCACCACTAGTATACTCTAGCCCAGTGATTCCCAAAGTGGTCCAGGTGGACCTCCAGGGGTCCACGGAAGACTCGACGGGGGTCCACGGTGACGTGAAAAAAATTTGGGGGTCCATGAGTTGTAAAGCTGCACTTACGGCATTGACCAGCCCTCTATATAAGTATTTCCAAACTAGTTCGGCAATGCAAGTCTCGACTAAAATATGATGGTGAACGTAACGAGGTTGTTTTACTCTGGGTGCCAGGTCACCAGTGTTGCCAGGAAATCGGAAACAGCAATCCCTTTTTTTGGCTGCAAAATTTCAAAAAATCCCGTTTTTGAGTTCGCTTTTCCCCGAACATTTTCCCTTTCAGCAAAAAACCAATTCAACATAAATAGATTTTATTCCGCAAACAAATCGTATACTTAGATGTGCATACAAAGATAAAAAATATATAATTTATTTCACGTTAAAAAGAAATAATTTAATTGCATACATCTTAATTTATCTAGAAATGTGAGATGTTATCATACATTGCATTTGAAAAATATTTTTCTACCTTAAATTTGACACAAGTTTGTTCTTTGACAAGAGTTTTAGTGTGGAGTATTCCACAAAGAGTATTATTTTCAAGGCGGTTTCTAATTTTAGTTTTGTTTAAATTAATAGCTGAGAATGACCTTTCAGCAGACGTATCACTATGTGGCAGGCAAAATAAAAAACGAACCAGCGTTTTAATGTTTGGAAACATTTCTTCATTCTCGCCAGATTTGATGTTTAAAATATCTCACCAAAACTCTTCGACATTTTCTTCCTGTATATTCGAAATATTAACATTTCTTAAAGACCTATATTCTAAATCGAGATCATTATAAAGTGATGTTGGAAATTTAGTAGGAAAATATTTACACAACGGAATTAAAGATACAACAGTCTTGTTTTTTAAAACAGACGGATTTAAAAACCCAAGCAATTTGAAAACTCCGC